TACGTCATACATTGCTGACCACATGGATTTTGTGGGTTCATGGTGGCGATGCAATTTCTAGCGCCTGGCCTTTGTACTGTTAGTCGATGTAAGGGTCCTTGGTCATGCTGTGGATCTACAGGAGAAGGAAGGCACAGCTAAGGACACTGAACATCAGTTAGCATTGAAGAATGGAGGTAAATAAGTTGTAGTTTTGATAAAAGTAAGGGAGTGGATGGAGGAACTGATGGGTTTTGGCTTTTCATTGCCTTTGTTTGACATCGGAAGAGGCCAGGCTGGCTGCAGTACGAGGACAAGTGAGCTAGCTGGGCCAAAATAGGACTTTAGTTGAAAGCAGGTCTGGCGGTAGCAATGCTCAACTCATATCAGACACTTTCTGTCTTTGTGGCTTATTCTGCTGTTGTATATTATCAAAACGTCTTTTTATCTAGAAGCATCCAAGTTTGAAGCATACATTTTCACTTGGTACTATCATGTTCTGAGAAGCCTTTTTTAGCGTAACTAATTCAAAGTAAATTGCAGAAATAAACAGTAATTAAGTGCTACAACATTAAAACAAGGCAAAGCAAAACAAGACAAGTAACAACAAGACAAAAACAACACCAGGCTGACCACAATCCCCCACACTATCCCATCCCCCCATCCGCCCCACTAACCCCTCCCCATGTATCTCCACCCCATCCACCCTTATTCTGCTTTTTAAATCTTGTCTCCACTATCTGTTGGATAAAACACTAGTTCTAACTGGTGGTACGCAGAGGAATCTTCGAAAAAAACGTTTCTATTTAAAACCATATAATAATATTAAATTTAATGAGCTTGCTACCTAGTCATGTTCATGCATGGTGTACACACATACCAAGATTATTATAGTTAACTAAAACATTTTAGTTAACAGTGAAATAAAGAAAAATAGACCTAAGACAAACTGACTGAAATTATATTGTGTACTAAATAAAAATATACAGGAAATGTCTTTAGTTTTAGTCTTTGTTAATTTGTCGACACAGCTAGCATGATGAGGCATTGTGTTTATGTTTATTGAGACTAGGGTGTCTCTATGACTGTGAGTCAGTGTGTTTTGTATTGTAATATCTATTCTGAACTTCCTTAATCTTGGCCCTGACAAATACTCCCCCATTTTATAATAAATAAAAGTAAAACTAACACTGAAACTAATATAAACTTAACTAAAACTAAACATTTTTCAAAAAAATGCAAACCCATTCTGGAGCTAAAAATGGAATAAAAATAAAAACTAATGAAAAATACAATACCATAATAACTCTGATGCAAACGTCCATGATTAGTACCAGTGTGCCAGTTCTAGAGCTTCCTGTTTGAACAGTGGCTGGCAACAGTTAACAATAAATAATCTTATTAATATAAATAAACCTGCTTCCTGTTCCTGAACTGACCGCAGCTATTTTCTGAGGTGATATCTCTCACATTTCCTGTTTGAGTCAAAGTAGAGTAACAAAGACTCTAATCTTAAAGCTCTTACCATTATTCTCTATTTACATTGGTCATGTTCAGCTCTTTGAAGTTGTCTTTTCTCTTCATCCCAGGCCGGCAGGACTGAAGGAGTTTGTGAGCAGCTGATTGACAGCGATGCCAGGGCTCTGTACGAGGCCGGGGAAGGGAGGAAGGGCAAAGACAGCTCCGTATTCATCGACATCCTCTTGAGCAGGAGTGCCTCTCATCTCCGTAAAGGTTCGCTGTCTCGCTCAGTAAAGTCCATTTTTGTGCTCTTTGTTCCCGTCAGATCTCACACTGACATTCTTTTCTCCTTCAGTATTCGAAAGGTACTCAAAGTACAGCAAAGTGGACGTGGCCAAAGCTATTGACCTGGAGATGAAGGGAGATATTGAAAGTTGTCTCACAGCAGTAGGTAAAGGCACAAACTACAACTCCTTCTTTATTAAAGGTCCAGTGTGTAACATTTAGGATGATCTATTGGCAGAAATTGAATATAATATTCATATGTATGATTTCATTAGGGTATTAATCACCTGAGACGTTTTTATCTACAGACTATGCCTGGCCACCCCTAGTTTGGTGTCAATTTCTATTAAATATAACACGTTAATTTAGATTATTTTTTAAAATAATGTGTTAAAATTAACACATAATTTAATGAGCTGACATGTTAGGCTAAATGATATGATCAAGTTCAGTGAAAAAAGAGGAATATGTCTGATTAGGATTGATTAACAATTTATAGATTTCTAATGTTTTTGAGTTCAAATGAATGAATGAATGAATTTCAAGTCAGCTTGAAATACCTTCATTTGGGGGCTTCTATCTGATTGTTTGTGGTTAAATCAGCACATTTTTCTTGCCACTCCATGAATATTTCTCTAGATCTGCCCCTGGATGTTTCTTCAGTAGCCCGGAAGGGACAAAAAAACTGGCTCTAGATAGGGCCATTTGTGTTTTTGCTGTTTCACCGCCACCATATTTTCTCCTTTATACTTGGAAAGGAATTGAGTTACAGTCTGCAACAACACCACTAGAGGCCACTAGATTGTACACACTGGACCTTTTAACTGAGCATTCATGCAGTGATTTATACAAAGATTTAAACTTGAACCATCTTTTAAATAACCACAGTGAAGTGTGCTGGAAGCAGGCCTGCGTTCTTTGCCGAGAAGCTCTACTTGGCCATGAAGGTACTGCATTTATAGGCTTCTTAGAACATATTTAAAAATACATGCAGGATACAGTGCCTGCTGCCTAAGACCTGCCATGACTGACCCCTTTCTGCCCTTCAGGGTAAAGGGACCCGCAAACCTATCCTGACCCGCATCATGGTGTCCCGCTCTGAAATTGACATGAAACGGATCAAGGATGAGTACAAGAAAAACTACGGCAAAACACTCTACCAGGATATTCTGGTGAGCAAATGTCTGACTACTCATAGTACCAATAAACCCATCCTACAAGTCAGAGCCTGCTCAGGTTTTTTTGTGGTGTACATGAGTCTTTTCTGTCTTTTCAGGATGACACTAAGGGAGACTATGAGAAGATTCTGCTCGCCCTCTGTGGGGGTGAAAACTAATCGGCAACCAGTGGGATCAAGGCTCATACAACTGAAGATCCAGCAGCGAGTTCAGCTGCGGAAAATCACCTATAATCTCTTGACACACATTGTGCCCCTATGTTCTTGTGGAGAACTGACATTTAGAAAATATATAAACAGCAATGATGAGCAAAGATTAACGTGGAATCGGCACTGCTTCAGCAGATATTTCCTCTCCCAAGTTATTCCTTTTCATTCCAGCACTCTTATTTCAGCATAGATCTGATAGCAGCGTGCCAGTGGACCAATGCTCTGGGACAGACTTAGCTTCATACTCATTAGAGTCTCATATCTGGTGCTCGAAGACAAGCTGATGTCGCTGATCACAGTGCAGCTGCTGACAGATGTATACAGATCACACATGTGCTTATCATATTCAGTGGCAGCAGTAGGCTTACCCTTGAAGGAGCTTGGATATCTTGCAAATAAAAAGCTTTTTGTATGAAGGCTTATCTGAGTGGTTTTGCTTTTTTTGCACATGCACATACTGTACATACTACTATACACTGATAGTATATGATAGGTACGTACTGACCACTGCAGACCAGGAATACCCCACAAGAGCTGCAGTTTTGGAAGATTGCTCTTGACCCAGTGCGTCTAGCAGCACAATTTGGCGTCCTTGTCAATGACTCCGCTGAATTATCTTGCTCGCTTGCTCACTTATTTCCTGCTTCTAACACAGTTCACTTTGAGGACAAGACAATGATTTGGGTACTTTTTTTCGCACTTTTTTTTTGGGTCTTGACCTTTTTGATTAGTATAACCAGATAATCAGTGTTATTCACTTCACCAATCAGTGGTCATAATGTTATGGCTGATCAGTGTATAGTATTAGTACATTGCATTATACTGTATATATAAAAACTAGATTAAAACAACAACCCAACACTCCTTATTATCAGTTAACTGTATATTTGGGCTCTGAATTCACTACAAATCCAAAATACAGAAATCATATTGTAACACGATTAACACAGAAGTCTCAATGTGCAAACATGAACAATGAATGAATGAACAATGAATGTAATCACACATAATTGAATACTGCTACACTAACTTAAGTACTGCACTGAAGTACACATTTAATGTACTTGTCCTTTTTTTGAGTAATTTCTTTTCATGTCACTTTGTACTTGATCTACATTTCAGAGGAAAATATTGTATTTTTTTTTTACTTAACTACAACTTTTGTTACTTTACAAATGCATACAAAACATATGACGATCTTGAAAAACTGACAATAATCTGCAGATTAATCCATAATTAAAAAAATATCATCTATGGTTGCAGATACAAAATAGTTCCACCTCAACCAACTACAACAACAAAATTCTGCTATTACATTACATAGTAATCTCATGACAAAGTGGGTATTTTACTGCACTGAGTACTTTTACTTTACATTTACAAGTACATTTTCCTAAATATTATAATAACATACTTTTACATTGGTAATGCAGTACTTTTACAGTGTGGTATTAGCAGGCTTGGGGGAGTATTAGTATCCATTACAGTTACAGTTAAAAAACGTAATCAGATTACAGTTACATTTAGTATAAATGAGGATTATTTAGCTTGATTACACCAGTTTTTCTTTAAAAAACGACACGTATTTTATGTGAAAAATCTGTTGTCTTATAGAATACACTTGCATCAATACTTCTTTTTATTTCTTCTGTCTTGTTTTTATTTGCATATTTGGTTTTGATGTAATCCAAAAGTAACGGAAAGTAATCAAGATGCATTAATTGAATATTATGATACTTGGACATTGTTAAACAGGTAATTAGTAAATGTATCAGATTACACTTTTTAAAGTAACACTCCTAACCCTGGGTATTAGTAATTTTACTCAAGTAAAGGATCTGAGTACTTTCTTCCCTACTGGTAATAGATTACAGTGTAATAACGGGACTTTGGGTTGCCAGGTTGGGTGAATTTATTGAATCTTCCTGCATTTTATTGTAATAAGTAGTTAAATATTCTCCATAGAAACCAGACACTGTGGATTTCACATTATAAATATTAAACAATCACAACCTCCCTCACGGGTTGCCATCCACAGGAAAGGGGGGGTTGCTGTCTGTCACACTGAACCTGGCAACCTCACAGCTCACACAGACATAAACAGGCGGAGCAGCGGCGTGCTAACAGCTAGGCTAACCAACCTTTCTCTTCCCCAGTACGTGTTGATGTTTATCTCTTAAACAGCTGCAGGGGGGGGGGGGACTGTTTATCTGACTGTAAACAAACTCCAAAAAACAACACCGACACGAAATGTGTTTAAAGCGTGTAGATTAGCACGACTGTAAGGCTAGAAAGCTAACGGTGGCTAAGTGAGTCAAAACTTTAAAACTGCAAAAAATGTGAGCGAGCTGAAGTCACGTGTGTGTTTTTTGATTCAGATGAAATGGTCAAAGGGAGCCGTGGTGTGTGCAGTGTGTGTGCAGTGTGTGTGCAGTGTGTTAAAGTCTTTTAGCCAGGTGGACGTTTCTGATAACTGAGCTAAAACAGACACATCCTTTTAAGGCTGCTTGCAGGAACCCCCCCCCAGCCCACACCCCCCCTCATATCTCAGTTCAACACTAATAAAACCTCAAACTCTTTGTCTTTTCATTCCAGGTCTGCCCCCCTCCCCTCACCTACCATAACCAGACTCAAGGACAATGACCTGACCCATGGACCACTGCTCAGTAAAAGTTGGAGGTAGATCATGAATGACAAACTAGTCTTCCTGGGCCTGCTGTACTTCGTCCAGGGCATCCCCTACGGTCTCCAGTCGTCCCTGCTCCCTGTCTACCTGCGCGGAGCCGGTCATTCCCTCACCCGCATCGGCTTCACCAAGATCCTCTACTTCCCCTGGGTCCTCAAGGTGCTCTGGGCCCCTTTCGTGGACCGGGTGGGCACCAAGCGGCGCTGGCTGGTGGGGACGGTGTCTGGGCTGGCTTTGACATGCCTCTCCAGTGCCGCCCTGGCCCCAGAAGCACATATCTGGGGAGTAGCAGGAACCCTGTTGGCCATGAACTCCTTGGCATCTGTCCAGGACATTGCTGTAGACGGGGCCGCCGTGGGGTTGTTGAAAGGTCGTGGGGAGCTGGGGCTGGGCAACACAGCCCAGGTGGTGGGCTATAAAGCCGGGTCGGTGTTTGCCGGAGGAGGGCTGCTGGCTGTGATAGACGTGGCGGGATGGAGCTGGATGTTTATGCTGCTGACGTTTGTGTACGCAGGCGTGGCCCTGTTTGTGTGGGGGGCCCCCGTGCTGGACGATGAGCCTGTGAGGGGCCAGCAGGCAGATGGCAGCAGGAGGGGAGGGCAGGAAGCAGACGCTATGAGGCCGTGGAGGGTGTGGAGGAAGCTGCTGGCAGTGCCCGGCACCCCTTGGACAGTCCTGTACGTGCTGACGTACAAACTAGGTGAGTGGGGTTAGAAAGAAAAGCACAGGAATTATCTTTTTACCACAAATAAATCCGGTTTTTGAGGTGCTGAACGTGCTCGAAAACTCCTGAAATGTGGCACACAGGTCAGTGGTTGTGGGTTTTGCGTGTGGGCGCGGCAGAGTGGCTCGAAAGCGCCCCCTACAGAGCGGCCCCCTGCAGCACGATTCACCGATATGTATGAGGTTTGGTAGGCACATGTATCAGGTCCAGACTTACATAAAACCCTCTAGGAAACATCCCCCAAACCCAACAGGCATTTTGAATTTAGTGGTCATTTCTAACAGGCATTGCACTTTAACAGACTCCTACAAAATGAACTAGGTTGACTTGAAATTGGGTCGGTGTAATCTAAAGACTTTTCTAATGAAAACTTATTAAAACCTTGAGTTTTCATTTAAAAACGTGGCCATGGAGTGAAACAGGAATTTGTCGTATCTTGAGTTTTATGTGGTCAAATCTGCACCAAACTTCATATGTTTGATAAATGTCCCACTTTGAATCCAATATTCAGGGATTGTCACCCAGGCAACAGGAAATTACATCTTTTATACTCTGATATACTCTTCCTAGCAGGTCGACCAGATCCACCTCAAACTGGGTTACTAAAGCCTTAAGACCACGATGAAGCTTTATTATGAAGCATGTGCGTTTTCGTGAAACGGCGTTGCCTCGGTTGCATTTTTCAGCGTCTGGAGATGCTCAATAAACTCATGAAACGCCGCACACATGTCAGAACAGGCGGGCATTTACATCTAGTATGGGTGTGGCTCAATAGCACCCCCTAGCAACACATTTCACTTCTACATCTACATGCCAATATTTAGCTATAATCATACTGTCTCCTTTTGGAAACAACAATCATCATTCGATTTACACACAGTTTTTATTGTGTCGTCTACACTTGATATGCTGGAACATAGCGTTTAACTAGCAGCACATGGTGGACAAAGGAAGTGAGATTTAACCTCTTTGTGTTCTGTCCGAAACACATTAAGATTCAGAGCCACGTTGACCACAGTTAACCTTTCTATATGAAAATGTACTTTGCTTTTCTTTGCTTTCAGGGCTGCTTCCAATGATTATTTTATTATTTATTAGTTAAATTGCTTCTATTGTTTGACTTATCAGATGTTGCAAACATTTGACAAATGTCCATTTAGTTGTTCCAGGATGACATCTTCAAATGTCTTGTTTTATCAGAGCAACACAAAAACACAAAGATAATTCAGCTTACAATTATATAAAAAGAAGAAAGTCCTGATATTGGAGATGCTGGAACCAGAGAATGGGAATTTTTGATTAATAAATGACTGAAACGATGAATACGTTTTTCAAAATAGCATTTTCTTTTGAACTACTAATATTGATCCACTAATTTCAGCTATAATTGGGTGTTCAAATGATCACGAGGGACACCAGTAAAGAAGAAAACAGATGAAAAACCACAGTAAAGAATACATTGGAGCACTCCCAGCCCATCTACCTATAAATGGGAGACCAGTTTATCAGCTTTTCAGACAAAAAAAGAAGGAAAAAAAAGCTTATTTTATAAAAAAATTAAAGTTATATTTCTTCAAAAGGTCCCTTTTGTCCCACTAAACTTTTCTTCAGCTGTTCCTGCCTTCATGTAGTACTGAGAACTCTCCACTAGATGTCTCTGTCGGTGTGTCCATTAGAGACTGAACTCAGGAATGAGCGTATTGAAGAAGTTGGTGAAGTTATTGTCTCAGCAGGTCCTGTATGCACGCACACTGTAAACTACAAGCCCTGCTAAGATAAAGCAGTTGTTTTTAAATGTCACAGTTATATAAAAGTATAAACCTAAGGCACTTGAACGGGAATACAGTGTTAGTATGGATGCATATTGAGTTCACGCAGATAGTTTTGTGTGTAACTTCCGTAAGAAACTAAAATTTTAAAGTAGTTATGGATCAGTCAAGCCTGTGTGTGTGTGTGTGTGTGTGTGTGTGGGAGAGAGAGTTGATATGACCAGAGTTTGGTGTTTGGTAGCAGAAGGGGATTATGTAAGGATTACAGTGTCTTTGTGTCTGTTGCGTTCAGAAACTGAAATGGAAGACGGCGCTTCACGCTGATGTGTGTTTATACGTGTGTATGTGGGTGGTGGGAATATAATTGTCTCTTCAGATTTGCATAGTCTTTACTTTGTATATGTGCTCCAATATCTGTGCCTTTTGTTTTGATATTGCGTGTGTGTGTGTTTTTGAGAGAGTGTTAAGGGTGGCTCGGTAATCGGATGAGCCCCAGCAGACGACACTACTAGACAAAATATGAGAGCTGGCTGGACCCCCTAATCTGTCTACGGAGCAACCCCCCCCCAAAAAAAAAACACTCTCTCCATCGCCCTCACACACACACTATCGACTGAAACTGGTGATTACAACAAGAATTGCTGATTGAGCTCCGTAGACTCATCGACAGCCATCTCACTTGTTAGCATTTTCCTGTTGTAGTACTCTAAATGTTTCCCACCTTTGCCCGAAAAAAAAAAACTATTGTGTAATATTTTAGATTAGGCCTGGATGTGCCAGCATAATTGCCCATGTGAGACACTATTGTTTTTGTTCAAGGGGTGTGTGGGTATGTTTGTGTGGGACTGGTGATCTGCCTGTCTGAACGCACAACACTAACACACACACACTCATATAAAAGCACAGACCCTTCTCCCTCATCTATTCCCTAATGAACTCTGAGTTTGCGCCAACACAGTGGCCAATCGCGAGGGGCCTCGTGTCTGAACTGTGACCCTTGTGCCATCTGAGGCCACGGGCTTGATGGGAGAACTGTCTGGGTAGGCTCGCAGGGACGGGCGGAGGGCAGGAGGGGGAGGAAAGTAGGCGCTAGTGAGAGGGAATGTAAGGGCCAGGAAGAGGCAAACAAGGGGAGTTTGGAGTTGTAAATACGCTCAAATGTTGCATACAAACATTTAATATCCTGGTGTTTTCCTACATGAGGAACCAAGCCCCGTTCACTAAGCAGTTATAGCTAAATGGCAAACTTACTTACTACAATTCAGCAATTTGAGGAACATAATTAGTCCTAGTAGCCAGGAAGTAGTCCTCAATTATATAATCATATTATTAGTTTTCAATAAGCGATGCTGCAGTGTGGCACACCTCAGAGCTGGCTCTTTGTAAAGGTAGGGAGTCAGCAGCCTGTATGTTTTGACAAGAGAAGGGAGTGATGGTGGGAGGAGGCGGACCCTGATGGTGGCTTTCTCTGGGAAGTGACCAGGTGGACGGAGGAATGGATGGATGAACACAAAAAAAGAAAAGCTTTGTCCCAATACTGCCCTTTAACCTCTTCCTCTATAATACGGCTACAAGGGTTAATAGTGAAATACACTCAGTTGCTAGTTTATTGCGTACATAAAGCCACTAAAAAGCCACTGACAAAGGTCTTGTTCTTGCATTGTTTAATAGTCATTTATATTCAGTTTACTGTTGCACTGTAGCCCCCTGATGTGCATCATTTTATGAGCTTTATGCAACATGTTTAAGGTGACTCTTAATGCATATCTCTCTCTTCCTCAAATGTTCTGAAGGAGGGGAGAAGGGAAAGATGGATGGATAAATGTATTTATTGTGGCACCGCTATATTAATTAATTAAATGCGTTATTGAGATGAAACCTTGAAGAGTTTCAGATACATGGACGACAGGCAGAAGTGAAGGATAGTGGGGCTGGTGAAGGTAATGGTAATGGAGAGATGAAGGGAGGCGGAAGAGTGGGAATGAGAGAAGAGAGAAACTTAAGGAGGTAGTGGGGGGTATTTTCCAGAGGGAGAAAGAAGGACTGCAGGGAGCGAGGCTGAAGGAGGGGATGAATTAATGAACAACCACCACATGGTGCCCTGAGAGAGAGAAAAAGAGCAAAATGGCAATAGACATAAACACATTCATGCAAGCAGATACATATACGATAAGATCTTTTTAGATGTTTAACACGTAAATCTCACACAATGAGCAAAAGCCAAATACAAAGCTGATTTTCTGTCTTAATGATAATAAAATCAGCATTAAGTGCATTGGTCAATGGATAATAATTGATAATCTTGAGCTATTTTGTTGGTGCACTTAAATAAATAGTTTGGTAAACCTTTAATAGCATTAGAAAAACACAAATGTATTTAATTTATTAAAAAGAGTTGAGTGTGTTTCTGCAACCTCCCTGCAAATGTCTGCCAAGATCCTACAGCAGTCATTGAAACATCATTGAAAACGATGGGGACAGTGTATTTGAATTAATGTTAATGTTACATGATTTCTCAGAAAATACACACAGAGAACAAACACAATCAACCCAGTAACCCATCAGGTGTTGATTGGGTAGAGAGATAGTGGTTGTCGTGTATTCTCCCATGTTAGTGAGCCTATAGACATAACTGTTTACTGTTTTGCCTGCAGGGAGCATTAGGAGCTTAAAGGTGTGCGTGTGTGCAGTTGTATGCACACAGACATTTATGTATATGTGTGTGTGTGTGTGTGTGTGTGTGTGTGCAGTGCTCAAACATGTAGTATGCATGAACCTGTCTCTGTTTACCGCTCTCTTTGCAGGGAGTGATAATGTCGGAGGACTGAGTGTCCTCAGTGATCTCTCCTGCTCTGCCAGCTCTTTTGTCTGAGCTGCAGCAGGATTTGACCCCACTGTCCTCATCGACCTCTCACCCTCATCTCACCCATATCTTTACTCTGATCCCTCTCTGTACAAGAACTCGGCCCCCTTCTGCCACACTTTTGTTTATAAACATATACATACATAGGTAAAAAATAAGTTAAAGGAAGTTGAACTTCCAAATATGGTTGGTGAGCTGGTTTGATCACAGAAGACAAAATGTGTATTCATCTCAACATACCTAATTTTGGGTGAATGTGAGATTCAGACATGAGACAAAAAAGATGTTATTAAACCTACATTAAATGCATGTGTTGGTGCCCTACTCTGCCTCTGATTGGCTGGTAGGTTAGGTTAGGTTAAGACATAAAGAGTGGTGAGATAGTTATTAAGTTCTTAGATTATTCACGTTATAAAACATATGAAGGTTACATTTGATGTTCAGAAATATCTACATTTATGTATAATAATATAATATTATAATATAATAATATATTTTTTAGCAGCTAGGCTAACACAATTAATAGATTATCCTCATTATTATAAGGTCCAGTGTGTAACATTTAGGAGGCTCTATTGGCAGAGATGGGATATATATACTGGCTCTAGAGAGGAATGTTCATGTGTTTTGTGGCCACCGTAGTTTCTCCTTTGTGCTTAGAAGGAGAGGGTGAAGCCACAGTCTCGATACCTCTACATCCTGCATACTAGACATTCACTTCACCTTTTGTTTGATCATTGATTTGACCACATTATTTGTGCTGAAAATCATATATTGTTGCTCAAATGCATAGACTACATCAGGGGTAGGCACTCTTTAGTCCCTTTCCTGTGGTTCCCTGTGGTTTTGTCAAAACAAATATATGAAAAATCAATAAGGCCTAAATTGAAACTTATTTTTTCCAGTTGTAAACATGTGTAGCTCTTACTCACCAAATACAATTTTCTTTTTAACATTTCATCAACTAAAATGTGCGTCATACTTTACTGATCTGGTGTCTTTTCCTCTGTACTTTGCTAAACAACAATAGCGGTGGGTACTCGTTATTGAGTCTCCCAAGGCTAGCTATGAACTCCAGATCCAAAAACAGAAATGTCTCAGCAGTAAATAGAGCGCTTTTGCTAGTTTTTATAGTAAAGGTTGCTGCCCAGTGGACCAGGTTATCCTTATTTCTTTGATTAATAGCTGTAGTTGCTAAAGTTGCTACCTTTTAATAACATTTTTAGTTTCTTTTTTATCTGCTGTGGTCTTTGGAGGCTTTACTGCCTTCACCATTAACTTCATTATGACAGTGGGCGTGGTTTGTAGCTCTTCTCCAAATATGTGAGATAACCAAAACTGTTCAGACTTTAGAAGAAAAGGATTTGATCTTGTAGGTAAGAAGCTGATCAGTGGAAGAGGGTTTCAGGCCTTTAATGTGCTTTGTTTCTCTCCATGTCTTGGACCCTGCTTATACTTGCTTACAACTCCATGTTGACGAGGATAAATAAAAACAACCCCGCCTCCCTTCTGTCTGTCACTTTCCCTCTTAATGATAAGTTGTTTGGTCTTTCTGTGCTGTCTGTCTCTAATGTAAACATAAACACAGAGTTTTCTTTGAGCCTGCCATCCCTGCTCTGTTTCCTCTTCACTAACCTCCTAACAATGTCTCTGTTCATCTGCTCCCCCCTCCTCTTCCTCTGTCTTTAGCTGTCTTCATCCCCGGCTGCTCTCCTTTCTCTTCAGTCATGTTTAACTCTCATCTCTTTATTTTTATTTTCAAATAAATGCATTATGATTGTCATTTCCTGCTCTACCGTCCGTCTCATTTTTTTTGTTATCTACTTCTCTTTCCCCTTTTTACCTTCTCTCCCTTTTTCTTCATTTCTTTCTTGTTTTTCTCGTTATTACTGACTTTCTCTTAATCCCCCACTTTTCTCTCTTTCTCCCCACTCTGTTCCCTCTCTCATCTTCTCTCCCCCTTCGCTCTTGTTCCACCCTTTTCTCCTTCCCCTTCACTCTGCTTGTTTAATCTTTGCGGATGTCTAATGAAATCCCTGCTGAAATGGACAATTGTTGCTTTGAGAATATTTATAGAAAGGAATAATCAGCCTGGTTGTGTTTGTCTGCACGCCCTCCCCCCTAACTCTCCCCCCCCCTCCCTCTTTAAAGAAATAATTAGTTGAAGGCAGGACTGTGAAAGCTCTGAGCTTTGAGCTAAACAACAGGCAGGCAGGATCGGGAGCACAGAACCATGGGTAAACAACCCAGGCATCATGGGTACCGCTGCTGCCAATGTTTACTTTATTATGACTAATATGCTTACCGCGCAGTTGATGCAGCTCAAAACAGTTGAGCACAGAGGATGACAGAGATTAAAATGTGAATAATGCACAGAGAGGGTGTAAGTGTATCAGTGCGGCCCCCACTGGGTGTGTGGAGTGGTAGTAATGTAATGTCATATATTATAAAGATCCACTTTAGGTCTTGGGTTTGACCACCTCATTGGGTTTATGGGCAGCATTTATGTAATATGTTGCTGTCATGTGAGAGAAAATTACATACAATAAACATCTTCAGTGCAAATACGTCTGCTGCGATGTGAAAGATCTCTGCAGACTTAAAAGAACGGTAGTTTGCTCCTCTTGTCTCTTTTGCTTATGTTGGGAGTCAGCAACTTTTGCTATGTCAGCCTTATAATGCTAACTTCTCACAGCCTATAAGTCAGCAGCGTTGGCTAAATTCTCTATTTTTAAAGAGACTTTTCTTTTTTTCATCCTTAGCTGGCCAAGCCACCGGACAAAGTAGCCACCGGTATCGAGGTTCAGCAAAATATATAAATAAAATAGTATAAAAATGCAATGTTAAAAAAATAAAATAATTTGATGTGTAATGGCTACACATTTTTACAATTATAAAATCACTTTAAGCCTACAACAGGCTCACACTCTCTCCACATTTATATATGTATGGAGAGAGAATGAGCTTCCCTGACAGAATTACACTGCCTCCCCATCCGTTCTATTGATTACTTTTAAATCCCACTTTACATCCAGAGCTCTTAACCCCTTACTCTGCTCTAAGATCCCTCATATGGGAGAATCAAATGTTGTTGAAAGTCCTACTGTTTAAGCTCCAGCACTGTGGAACAAACTCACCCTCAATATCAGGTTAAAAAACCTTTAAAAACACAGACCGGCATTTGTATATTTTATAATGTCTACTCGTGTTCATATTTTATTATATCTCTCTCTGTTTGTCTCTATTTTATTTTATTTTCTGTTCAATATTTGGTTTTATTTCTTTATGATATGCTATCTTTGCACGTATTGTATTATATGGTATTGTATTTAATTAAACCATGTAACGGTGGTTTTAAGGACTTATTATGATTAGTATTATTAGTATTATTAGTATTATTAGTATTGCTGTTGTATTGTTATTGTTACATCAGATATCAGACATCAATATAGGACAAAGGGTCGATTCATATTCATACATACAAACATCTGTACATACATACACATGTCCATATACACAAATAGACATACACACATATATAGGTCGACACATGTACATAGCTACATATACCTTACACATACAAATACACGTATGCATGTACTGTACATATCCTCATACACACCCTCATGTATTTGTTTGTATGTACAGACAACAACAATAAACAGACAAACAAAATTGCTCATTTTCACTCCAGCCTTCACATTTTTGCTTCTATTTTACTTTATCTGAACGAAAAACACATTTGTCTGTCAGACAGGTAGATATGTTCAGGACGAACTATCGTATTGCTTAATTTAATATGATCAAATTGAATGTAGTCATCCCCTCCTGTATCAGCTATGTGTAAATTGCCAGCAGTGAAACATGAGTGACAGAAGTGAGAGACGTGTTTCCTACACAGAGAATCCACATTTCCTACCCCACGTTTTTCCTGCCGGGTTGTCACACCACTGTTACAGCGGTGACACTCTCGTTCTGCTGCTGCACTCCCTATCACTGGGAGCTTCTCAGCTTTCTCTTATTATTATTATTTTTTTTTATTTCAGTCTGTTTCATCTGTCTTTTTTTTTTCTCTCTTTCTCTATTTTTGTTTGTCTCCTGGCTGACTGAGTGAGTGAGTCGTCGGTTGTGTTGCGTCGTCTTTGACAGCAGTCTGGGAGCCAAGCTGTCACTCACGCAGCTCCTTGGTCCCACTGTCTTTCTGAAGTCAGTCTCCATTAATATAATAATGGCGTATAGTCGGCGCCACTGAATATTTTACTGTAATGTTCAGCAGAACATTACCCCCACACTCAACGCCACACAGAGAAAGTCTTACTGTGTGACAGAAACTTTTTATTTTGACTGAAAGGTCTTTGTGAGGTCTGTTTCATCTGTGGAAGTTTTGGTGTTTTTGTTGTGTTTTCCTTTTTGTGCTTTAGGAAAAGTGCTAGGCCCCCGTTTGATAAAGTGACTGAGGGTATTCTTTTTCTTGTCAGGCATCTATTATTGACACTTTCCAGGAATAGGCCTAGGTACGCTGCGTGTTGGTGTGCTGTATTTGATTCTGCAGTTGTCATCTCAGGAAAACCATGTTGTTCAGACTTGCAGGCTAAACAGTTTGGTACAACATCCTCATCCTATTTGACTGTGATTGGAATAGGCGTGTGTGTTCAGGAAGTGTCTCACATATTTACTGTATGTGAAAAACAGCAATGCTTAGTCAGAGACGTACAGTACATAAGTTACAGTGTATTGATTGTATATTTTCCCCTTGCTTCCCTTGTTCCCCTCTTCTTCTCCTTCTGTTTCTCATCGTCCCTTTCCTCCTGATCTTCCCTCTTTGTCCACCTCTCTCTCTCCTCCGCAGGTGAGCAGGGTGCAGTGACCATGTTTCCTCTCTTCCTTTTGGATCATCACATGACCGCCAGAGAGCTGGGCTTCTGGAATGGCGTGATCGCCATGGGCTTCTCCATCTGCGGGTCGTTCCTCGGAGGCCTGCTGCTCGCCCAGTTCAGGTAGCCTTCATCAACACCATCACTTGGTTTATCTCTGGCTCCACCGTGATTGTTTTTGTTTGGCAGAAGTGTTGTAAAATGAATTGGCGTCTTAAAAATGGATAAAATGCCTGTAAAAGTGACCAAATCCACATTCTTCCATGGAGTTCTTCAATATTCACTAACAACTAACAATGATTTTAATTATGGATTCATTTTCCACTTGATTGCTCAATAAATCAATCACTCATTAGGTATATAAAAATGTTTAAAAGACATCTTTACGTATTCTGTTTACCGTAATAGAAGATTATGAAAACAAAGCAAATATTCACATTTGAGCAGCTGGAATCAGGAAGTTTTTGGCATTTTTTCTCAAAAAATAAGTTAAATATTTGACTGATAATCGAAATTGTATTGTCTCTCGATCGACTAATCAGTTATTAGACTATAGAACTATTAAATTTAACTAATTAATTAAATTAACTCCCAACCATTTTGATGATCAATTAATGGTGTATTAGCGACATTTTAGGACGTCTGCTCGGGCTTTGAGAAACAGTAATCAGCATTTTTGAACAGTTCTTGATTAGAAACAAGCCGGTCTGAAGCAGTAGAAGAGTGTTGGCACTGTGCTACCAGCAGAGGAATATAATTTCGGTGCCTCACAAACAGCTAACACAACTTGACAACAACCTATTAAATATTTAAAAATTTAAGAATCAAGGGGAGAAATTGAGCCTTTAAAGAAAAATCTGTAAAGCTGGTTGTAGGTTTTCAGCAGCGGGAAAGAAGAGAAGATTGATCAGGTACAGTCCACTGCACCACATGTAACATGTATCTGACTGCCTCACTCTCCTCACTCGTCCCACCAGATGTTACAGTACCATCATCATCATCTTCCTCTTCTCATCCTGCTCCTCTTCTTCTTCCTCCTCCAAGCTTTTCGTGTACACTGACTCCTTCTTTCCTGCAGCTTTTTTCCTCCTCCTTCACCTCTTCCTCTTCACTCTGTGCCCATTCTTCCAGTGTTTTGATTACTATTCGTAGCCTCGTGTGCTTGTGCATATGTGTGTGTGTGTGTGTTGCCGCCTGTCTGTCTATGTGTGTACAGTAATTTAAGTAAACATAGCCTTGTTTGAGAGCTCAGGGACCCCCTGTGTCTGGTGTGTGGTGTGAGAACAGCATGAGCAGCAAATCCATCACACACACTCATGCGCACACACACACCACACAGTACTCAAACACATCCCCTCTAGAAGAGTACTTGACATCGCTAGGAGACAACGCAACTTCATCAGTTAGATTCATAACTATCTCTTGGATATTACTAAGGAAGATACATGATGATGTTTTCGAGACCTATTCTGTATTTATCTATGTACTTAAAAATATCGTCTCGCTTAGCTACCTGCTCCAAGCCTAATTTACTTTTGATCTAGCATACGGATTTATTAATCTCGAGTAATATTTTTACATCCTAGAAATTGACTATGATTAAATAACTATCAATGATTTTGGACTCCATCGCTTAGAATACGTCTCGAGTATCATTGCACCTTAAAAACGATCAGCTTGAGGCATAGGTATCCAAGATGAGAAGATCCTACAATTGTAGGAAAATGGAAGTATGTTATTATAACACTAATAATAAAAACCTCAATAGGTATTTATAAGTTTTTGTCTATTAGTAGATACATCAAATAAAATCCACACTGAAAAATAAGAATCGTTGTCGTTTCTTTGCACATTAAGAAACTGAAGAATCTGGATTTATATATATCTAATCTAGAGGAGAGACGGTAAGATCGCTCCTTCTGACTGTCTTCACTCTGCCAACTCTGTAATGAGTACACCCCCATCGTTTAATACTAGTAGCCAGAACCATAGACTAATTAACAATACATTTTGACTATATATTAATTGGGAGGCCTTGGCGCTATATATTATTCGCAGACCTATCCTTCTCAAGCAGCACACTCTTTTATTAGTTTCTCCCACAGTATTGGATAAGCCGAAGAGTAAATCCTACAATAGTGATGATAATGCATGTATAAACATTTGTACAGTGGAATCCGGTTTTGGATACGCAGTGTCTGTGATTGTATGTAACCTTTACGTGTTTTACCCTTGAGCACATTGACACTGTGCCATTTGTGCCTGACCATCGTAGCATAAGGTTATATGTCTGCTTATACAAGGATCACATCATAGCACAGCCCTGCCTATGGCCAGTGTGACATAATGTAACTATAAATAACAACAATGCCTTTATAGAGGATAGTATGTTACGTATACTTCCCACAGCGTGGTAGCCATTGATCAGTATTATTAGGGATACAGTGTGTCAGTCAGTGGACAGGTGAAGTGAACCTGTGCCCTTTGCTCATGTGTTGGTGTCTGTTTGTGTTGTGTGTTGTTGTGTGCATGCCCATTTGTTGGCATGTATCAGTTGCTCCGTCTCACGTCTCATGTCTTTTTGTGCTTGTGTTGTGTTTTCAACTGGCTCCCAGGTTTTCTCCTCTTGTAAAGTGACACTAGCAAACACACAGCAAGCCTCCAAAGGCGACATTTTTGTTGAGGGGAAAGCGCTTTCAAAAGATGTCATTGTCATACTCTGGCTTTTGATCTCTCACTCTTTCTCTTCCATCTCACTTGTAAAGGACTCGGTAACTTGTAAAGGCAGTAAAATGTTCACACACTGACAAAGACACAAAACACTCATCTAAATGACTTGTTACTCTTTACTAGTTTCGGTTTCTGGCGGTATCATGAGTTTACCAGTCAACTATTCGCACCCACTGTGCAGTAATCTGCTGTAAGAACAGGCATATGACACCTGCTTGTTTGACCTGTAATTGAAGCACCTCTGTTAGGCCAGTGTGTGGAATATGACAGCTAATGAATCAGAGTGGTAATTTAAAAAGTTCCCCAACCTTCATTAGAATCCATTGCAATAGATTTCTGGCATGTCGAGTGATTATGCCACCCATTTTTAACTTTCTTTAAAAAGATTTAACGTGAGTTGATTGTAGAGAAACAGACAGTAACTTATATATCCAATGAATCAACAAACAGTTAGAACGATGGATGTGCAAAATAGCGATTCATCAAGATTATTATGTGGCGTTTTGAGATAATCGGTAACGGACAATTCCTGCGCTCACGGGGCAGATAAACAAGAAATGTCTGCAGACACAAATGCAGCCAGCCTGGTCAGTGTGGCTAACCATTGGCTAATAACCAATAAGTATGTAATTAGTGGACAGAGCTTCCAGGTCTGTGAAGTGAAGCCAACATGGAAGTTTCTTTTTAATTCATTTATTAATTTTCAGTGGCCTGCAGGGGGCAGAAGTCCAATAGTATTGAGTCTTATGAGCAAATTACCTAACATCCTGCTTTATTTATTAGCTCAGTAAACACTTTCCCAATGAGTTTATGGTCTCAATCGCTAGTTTCGAGTCTTTCATACAGCATGATGTGCATTTTGTAGATTATAGTCCAATTTAGAGTAAAATAGTGAGTCCGAGTTCCTGCTACGGACAAGTCAAAACTGTGCAGCCAGTGAGAGCAGATCAACTCTCAGTACACCACCAACGCAGGCTGCTAAAAAGCAACATGGCGTCAATCATAATGATGAACTTGAGGCTTCAAAACGGTCCCCCACAAACCAATGAGTCCTTGCTGCAGCGGCCATGGGTTTGAATCCAACCTGTGGCCCTTTGCTGCCCCTCTCTCTACCCCCTTTCCTGTATATCTTCAGCTGTCCTATCTAATAAAGGGAAAAAGCCCCCCAAAAATATTGAAAAAAATGAAAGGATATGTAATATAAAATCATTACTGGCCAGTGTTAAATATATATTATGTTATGTAATGTACTTTGTTAATGTTCTTTGTTTTAATATCAATATTATATGTCAGTATTATAGTTCGGCCACTAGTGCAAAGTAAAAGATTTAACAACGAGGTAATGTGTTCAAAATGGATATATCTTTGCATCCAATGTCAGATCAACACTTCCTTACCTCCTCCTGTACTCACACACACGTAGACACAGAAAAAGTGCTGTCCACTAGGCTGTGGTCCCACCTCTAAAAGCTCAGTTGGAAGGTTTATCCTCCCCAACATCAGAAACGGCTGAGTGGTCGGTGAATGACCCCCTTTACAACCGCCACTGGCAACCTGAGAACACGGCTATTCTTATCTGGGCCCGGCCCGCGTGAGGTGGCAGCCAGGCAGGTTCTCTTTCTCACACACACACACACACACACACACATTCTCACACGCACACACACACATTCACACACACATATACTCACACACTCACAGCATCTCTTGAGAGTGCGTGATATGAAAGGCTGTCATTGAGACGGGAGGTAAAGGAGCAGCAGAGAGAAGAATGTCTTTAGCATGTGAATGATGCAGGATTGGTTTTCTAGTAGAGAGGTAAGGAAAGGCTGGGTGAGGAGGGGAGAGTTGGTGAGTGGAGAAGATACGGAGGAGGGAGGGAAATAAAAAGGTGAAATAAATAGAATTCAGCTGATTTAAGAGCTGTATTACTGGATATTTGCAAAATGTTTTATCTCTTCAGAATGAATGAGTCAAAGAAAGCGTAAGCACAACCAAAGGTCTTCTGCTTTCCTTTTAAAATAGTCTTCTGTAATACTCACACACAGGTGAGTTTATTTTATCATAGTGTTTGAGATGCATTAGCTTTTTTTTCCTCTATAGTTGCTGGGGCAAATATTAAAGAAACACAATTAAATGGGTGTCTTCACAGGTTAGATTAGAGCTTCAACAATTATATGATTAAACAAGTTGTGAATCGACAAATATTTAATGGTTCCAGCTCCTCCTGCGTGAGAATTTGCTGCTTTTCCTCGTCAAAACTAGATTATAAACTGAATATATTCAGTTTTGGACTGTTTTTATCCAGCTTTAGTTGCCAAAACTGAGTGGAAACCAGTAGAGAGAAAAAAAAACCTGCATTGCAGAACCAACATAAAGTTGATGGCGGTGATATGCAGAAGTTGTGCGCACTGTTGCACCATATAACGTTGCTCAGGACTTTTTTAAAATTTTTAAACATTTTTTAAATGTTTTATGTATCCACTTTGTTTAGTTGCCATTGTCGCTGCTGTTCAAGCAGCTACTTTGCATTTAGAAATCCCAAGATGATCAGTAGGCGATGACATACCTGATCTGGTATCCATATAATAATAATGTACCTGGTTTTAGTGTAATCAGGGAGCTTTTTTGAATGTCAGCTGCCCTCTGTTTCTCCTCACATGTCACATTTCTACTGTCCACCATAAAATAAAGGAACACACTCATAGGTCAATATTCAGAAATAATCTATACTTACTTTTACACACACACACACATATTGTATTTATAACTTAGGCCCACCTGTAATGATGCTTAAAAAGCGTTAGAATAAGTCAGCAGTGAATCAGGAAGTAAACATCCAAACAGAACGGGGTCAACCAGGGCAGACAGACTGGGTTTCATCAGGTCTACTCTTACTGGACAGAACGAGCGCTCAGGGTTCGTCTCATGAAGCAGGAGATTGAAATGAACTCGGCAACTTTGCCAAGAAGAACATTTAAACTTTAAATCTCAATCACGGACTGAAACTGTTCATGGCTTTACTCAGTGAGAGTGCTTATCAACCTAAATCAGATATCCTGTTTCGTGTGACAGGCCTCTTCTTCCTCACAGCCTTTTTTACACATAAATAATTACATGCAAAAAAAACAAAACATAAACAAACACACACACAGTCCTTTGAGTGGCAGGCATCCTCTGAGTGATTGGCATTGTTAATCCCTGATGTCACACAACAGTGTGAGAGTGTGTGTGTGTGTTAACAGTGATTAATTATCTTCCTCATGCTGGGGATCTCCTTAGGTTATTGATTACGTCACGAAGCAAACCCACAGGGGGATGATTTTCTTGCACTAACAGGGAATCAATTAGCGTCTGGGGACTTGTTTACTTAGGCACGTGCACGCATGTTACTGTGTGTGCGCATGCATGTGTGTAATTGTCTGTGACATGAAACGAAACACAGAATGTCTCCAGATTAAATGATACTAGCCTTGAGCCACTGTCACCGCATATCACACTGCTCATACATAACACTCGTACCTAAAAGTTGGCAAACGTTTGTCTGATACTCGGCTCTTTGTTTGTTTCTCTCCTCAGCATCGGGGCTCTGATGCGACGCGTGTTCGTATTGCGAACCATCAGCATGGTCTTCCAGAGCTCTCTACTCACTGTACTGGAACCATCACCGCTCATGAAAGGTGAGACAGACAAAATACAATCACACCAATTTAACTGGGGCTCAGTTTCAGCACATAATACCAATTGCCAATATCCCTATGTAGTGAACTCATGAAAGAAGTAAAGAATGACCCTGTTGGTCTTTTATTCTTCTCCATGAATAGTCTATAAGCCCACCACATGTTGTTATTTGAATTCTGTAGATTTAAATATTCAAACTCTCCAGATCTTTATCCCATAAACAGTGTCCTCCTTTGACTTGCTAGTTTCTTGAATAAACACATAAAGCATGCAGTTATTAGCATGCAGGTACATATATATATACATGGATTAAGTCCTAAATGTATAATGTGAATGTAGAATGGTCAAGTTAGATTAAGAACTATTTATTCAACTGGTTGAATATGCTCCTTGATCGGTCATAAACACTATATATATATATATATATATATATATATAATTTGGTGAATAAAGAAAGCACTTTGGTGAACACAACTGAATTACAATGATCAACAATGGTTTTCACAGCTATGACTGAAAGACACTCAAAAATACAACAAACTACGTTCTCAAAAATGAGCTTTAAGTTGAGTCAACACCACAATTTAACAATATGACATTCACCCCTGTGCAGGTGTGTTTCTGTGTGTGTGTGTGTGTTCAGCTCCCTGGATATTTGTGACATACAGTAAGGTGTGTGTTCTGATGGAATATACCAGCTGATTTCTGTCAGCTTGCCTTGCAGCTGTGTCATTTAATATTAACGTTAGGTAACAGGATTTTACAATAGACATTCACCTTCACAGTGAAAGTTTACTGAGGCCTGTAGTTGTAGTGTAGTGACCTGGAGCCTGTTGATCCAACTAAAACTGGTCGGCACTTCATCAGTTGCCTGCAGCAGTGCTTTCCAAACCCCCAATGGGGTCACAGTGTTCGCAGATAAGTAGAAAATTAAAAACAGAACATATTTCTACAATTATGTTCTTTCTTTCAGGTTTTTTTTCTTCTGAGAAGTTTTACCTCCTCAGGCCTCTAAAATTAATCAAATCCTCACAGTACTTAGATATTTTCAACATGTGATGAGAGGAGAAGTAGGCATTGCTTCATCTTAAAGGTCTAGTGTGTAACATTTTGGAGGATTTTGAATTTATTTCTCACATTTACAGACAGATCCTGAGATATTAGACTTTCTGATTTAATATATCAAATGTGCTGCATTGCAGTATATTTGATTGGATTTATTATGGTTGTTACATGTAATAAAGGTCCAGTGTGTAACATTTAGGAAGATCTATTTTGTTTCCTTAGAATGAGCCGTTTTTAGCCACAGCTACTGCAGGTCGCCATATGTGGAGGCCACTATGTTGAACTGCCCAGAAGGGACAAACCAAACACTTGCCCACTAGATTTTTCTGCTACTAGTTTTTTTGTGTGGTTCGTGGCCACACAATATGAAATCTACAACTACACTGCTAGAGGCCACTAAATCATACACCTTTTAAAAGCAGTGGTGTTCTCTAAAGTCAATTAGTTTGTACAAAGTGTTGGACGACAACGTCGGAAGCTAAAAGTTTCAGTAATGTACACATGAGATTCATAGTGTTACACTCATTCGCACACACAAAAAATGACAAAAAAGAATGAAAACTGGGAGCTTGAGAGAGAGCACAGCTGGCCAATCGCTGCCTGAAGTGAATGTGGGATTGACGGTTTCAGAAAGTTATAGAAATTGTCTGACACAGCGTCACAATTCAAAAAACAGTTGGGAGCCACTGACCTACAGCACAAGCTCTTGAGCCAGACGTTCAGTATTTATACAGAATAAGATCGGATGATACGGAGGATACTGACAGACAGGTGCGCTCCCCCTCTCTCTCCAGAGAGCCATTCAGTTATTAATGTCTGAATGACACATCTGATTCTGTTACACAGCATTGGGATTCAGATTTGCCCCATTCATCTCCGTCGGAGTTGTCTGTTCCCCTATCAGGCCTCTCAGACAGAAAGTTGAGGCCTCCACCCCCTCCCACCCCTTTCCTTTAAACCCAGAACAAAGATTTCAGGAAAAACATTCAGTTTCAGATTTTTCAATATTACATGATAACCCTCCGCTTCCCTCTCTTCCAGTCTGATCAGTCGGTGTATCTGTGTGACTCCAACAGTCTTGTGTCGCTGACTGAAGAATCTTATTCAGGAAAAACTCTGGCGGCTTGAGTGAATAATTCAGTGTTAGCGGGAGCAGAGACAGATAGGCTCTGTGGTTCCTCTGTGTTTCCCCACTAACACCGCTCTGCCACTTCCCCTCAGAGGATACACTACATGTGTTTTGGGGACGAGGCAGGGGGGGAGGGAGAGGAGAGGAGACACTTCAGCAGCTTACCGTTTTCTCGCTGCTTTGTCTCCCTACTTTGACTTCTACACAGAGCAGTGTAGTGAGAAGTGAAGCAGAGCAGAAAACAGTGTACAAATTCTACTTTTCAGAAAAACTTAAAGCTGCACTCAGACGTGTTTTAGCTGTTGTTGCTTGATTTCGTGGTGTGCTCGTTCCCTCAGGTATGGCCGTTCTGAGCATGAGTGTTCAACACTTCCTGGGCGGTCTCATCACCACGCTCACCTTCACTACCATGATGCATTGCACTCAGAGGGCCGAGGAAAGCATTCAGGTAAAACAGACTTTACTCATAGACCCAGGCTGCTGTTATTTAATAATTTGACTCTCTTGTCACCATGTTTTTAGTGTTAATTGTCTCATTCTTTGGTGTTAGGTCATCTCCTGTAGCTTAACAACGACAACACAATCCCTCTTTTTTCCCCTCCACCCTCTTTCCTCTCCTCTGTCTTGGTTTAATTGTGCTATTATATAATATTAGGTCATTTACTTTGGTTGTCAAAGGGGGGCCGAGAGGGAAATCCTCAGCGTACAGTACCACACCTATGTTCACCTATACCTGTCAGTTCTCACCAGCTGTTTCCATCTGGAAAATGTCAGACCCACTCTCTCTTTCTCTCTTTGCTTCTTTTCCTTTTGTCCCCCCTCTTTCCAGTTTTTTTCCACGCTTGCTGACATTTTCCCACCTACCGGCTCACTCTATTTCTTTGTCATTCTGTAGTCCTTTAAACGCTCTCTTTTCCAATTCTGACTTTTTCCTCTCCTCTCTCGTTGTCTCCTCTTTGACATAACTTCTTTTGTCCCCGTCGTAACTGGGCCATCGCTGCCTGGAGGTGATCGCTGTTCACACAGCCATTCAGACATCACTCAGTCAATCTCTGAAGGTGACAAATTATCATTTAAATTGCTGTCACTCTTAAAGTGGAGAAGAAAGGGGGAAACAAATCAAAAAGCTGTAGCACAGATATCAGGATCTGGTTACTGATAAAAGAATTGACAAGAGAATCAATCACAACATGCGATGATGAGAACCACGGTTAATTTGAGAGGTTCTCATGACACATATACTGTTTGCTTTTTAGTGTGTCGGTGTGTGAATCAGTGTGTGTACGAGCACACAGGAGGGGAGAGCATTAGCTCGCCTGTGCTCGTTGTGTGTATATGTGTGCGTTATTGAAGGTAGTGCTATCCAGTGACAGAAAGCTGATAGTGTGAGTGCTTGTTAACGATCCCCAGGAGAACGAAACCCAATCTGTTAAACAAGTTGCTCAGAATAAAGGCACTCCACTTAGCTGTGGTCACACAGGCTCTCAGAGCTCTCTACCTCAGCGTACAGACCGCAGTCACAGCTCAGATAGTCTAAACTCACCACCAGCTCCTCAACTCTCATCCAATTCATATTGTTTTACTTTCAGTCTTTGTTTTTCCAGTGAGAAATGTCCCGTACGGATTGTGAAAAGATTTCAGAATTACCTGTTGTCTCTGTAGAATTAAAAAAACGTCAAGCGCAGTCCAAATTTATGTGATGGAAAGATTAAGAGCTGCAACTTCAGATGAAAAAATGTCAAAAAAAATAATGAAAAATGTCAGAATAAGCGTCTTCAGATGCCTTTTTCCATCTGACCAACAGTGCAAAACTAAAAGATATTCATTAAATAATGATATAAAACAGAGACAAGCAGCAAACCCTCACAGAGTGTTTCTGTCAGTTTTGCTTAAAACTATTTAATCCAGTGAATGGTGTAATTTGTGGACACACAGTAGTGAAAGACTCTTGTTTACCTGCTGCAGTGTCCAGCTGAAGGTTAACTGTTTCACACGGTTTTAAACTGCAGAATAATAATCTTTCTTTCAGAATGATTTATTTTCCAGTGCCGGCTTCTTACAAGTGCAATCTGTATTTCTTTGATGGGAGGATTAAAGGTATTTGTTATAATGAAGAAAAGAGTCCTGAGCCTAATGAATTAAGTTGTTTGGTCAGTGATAGGTGTCACCAGAGTCCTTCTGTTGTGTACCTGCCTCACCTGATGCTGTGTTCTCGGGCAGAGGGAGGAGGCTTTGGGGAGATTAGGTAATCTCCGTCCCTCTCTTTCTCTCTTTCTTCCTCTCTCCCTCTCGCCCAGTCTTGAGAAAGCCTTAAGGCTGGGATCAGATACTCTTCTTCGTTTGGCCTCCGTCCATCGTCTCAGGCCATGATCTCACGCTTTCTCTTTCAGTCTTTTTCTTTTTTTATTTTTCTCTTCTATCATTTGTTTTTGCACTTTGGGGCTTTTTCCTGAAAGTCACACAGTTCTGTGTTGTTGTTTGCTGTTGCTAATTATTCTTTATTACAGTCTGAAAAACATCGACTAATAAATTGTGCTACAGGATAGGATGAAGTGCACCTTTTCCACTTTCCCATCTACTACTCCCTCCTTTTCCTTACAATGTGTCTTCATTTCCCAAACCCTCTCCTTCCCCTTTGTCCCTTTTCTCCACTCACTTCCCTCTCCTCTACTTTCTCATCATTCCTTCCTCTCTTTTCCCCTCTTCCTCTCTTTTTCAGGCGACACACTACAGTTTCCTGGCGACCCTGGAGGTGCTGGGAAAGCTGACGTTCAGCGCCTTGGCTGGAGGCGTGGTGGATTGGTTCGGTTTCCAAGTTGCCTTCCTCTTTTTCCTCACCCTCTCCGCTGGGACGGCCCTGCACGTGTGGACAGCTACCTTCACTGGTGTTTTCAGGGAACACCAGCTCAAAGAACAGCCCAAGTGAGATCAGGATCAGGGTGAAAGGTCCTGATGCGGGGCGCTTGCAGGTGCTTAAAATGTATTGAAATCACTTGAGTTTGTCTACCAGTATTCAGGCACCTCAAAAGTTCTTGAATCGTGTTAAATATAGCACTCATGACTTCAGCAAATCATGTCAATATAGAAGATTTTGAATAAGTTGAATTTCTTGTTCTGCCATGTTTTAAGGAGAAATCAGCCATGCGATTAAGTACTCTTTTACAGAGTGTGTTTTTTGTCATTTCACTGGCAAAACTGGCCTTAAGTTTTATTTATTTTGCGTTTGAAATGTCTGAAAAAGTCTTAATACCTACATAAGCGTGAACGTTTGCAGATACTGTGTAGGTAAGGATGAGTATATTGAGTTTTCTGCACCTAGTCAGTGCTATGAATGGATGTGTGCTGGGCAATGGCGCACCATTATACTGTACTGAGAGTACTTTGGGAAATATAATCAAAGCTGTTTTTAATCATCTGAGCCATTCTAATGTTTTAATAAGCCAGCAATAAGAGCTGTAGCCAAAAGCAATATTGCTACTTTGTGATGCTTGTTCTATCATATTGTACTGTATATGAATATGTTAGTCATTCTCCTGAGTTGTATGGTTTACAGTTATAAAGGAATGAATCTCTACTACCTCGTATCAGCACTGTATGGTACGGTACACAGGAGGGGAATGTACAGTAGCTGCACCAAGTAGAGTACACAATCATTCACTGTTACCTAATAGGGATGTAACGATACATAGATTCACAATTCGATTCGTGATACTTTCACATTGAAGAATCCTTTTTTATTTCTGAGGTGGATAACAATGTGCAAAAGAAAACACATTTCCTTTTCTAAAACTGAAAATATAACCCTGTCAACTACAATAGCCAAAACATTCAATTTTAAATAGGATGTTGCATTCTCAATGTCAAAGACTGTATTCAGAACCACCTACTTCATGTTACAGACGAACTTCATACTGCTTTTTATAGTAGTATGTAGTATGAAACTGTAAAATCAATTTATTTTGCAATATGCTAGACCAGACTCAGTCAGTTTCTGGTTTTGGAAAGCGGAAGTTAACAATAGCACAGCTAATAGCAAACCACCGCTACTGTGTAGCATCCCATTATCGAAAAGAAGGAGATGTTATAATTGTGGATTTTTGTGATTTTCCCAAAGATGGAGTGAGAGAGCTGATGATTGGAAGCAACCAAATTACTTCAGTGCAAATGTAATGTGTGTTTTGTAGCTCGTTTACTACAAAACAGTAGTTATTACAGAATAACAGCGGTAAGAAAATTAACAATTACATAAATGTTCTTACAACTGCCTCAAAATCAATTCAAAATCTACACAGCTAATGTCTGGCCTCAAATGTTCTCTGACGAGGCGAGTTAAGCTGATCGTTTCATACTGGAGATTTTAGCTAGGACATCTGGGTATTTTTGGCATACTGTAGATTTAGCTTTTGTTAGCATACTGCGTACTACAAGCTACATTATGGCCAAAGTTCGAATACAGCCTAACCTTTGACCTGATGCTGCCGTGTCTTTATACCTTCATGCAGTGTGAAGGTTAAACAAGCAAAGTCAAAAGTAGATAGCTCTCCTCTCCTGTTTAAAAAGATTATCACCATCCATTTGTCACCTCACGGATTTGAATCTTCACGTTTGTGTCGCCATTTAACCGTATATCGTTACATCCCTGTTACCTAAGCTACAACAGTTAGCCAGCAGTTAGTCGGTTTGTAGTTACTGCACCTGTTTTCATTTTAGAAAGGGAATAAAAATGCAGTTCCCCCGCCCCCGAGTGAAATTCCTTTTGGAACTGAATAGATCAACCCTGACAGCTTTCTTCTTGTAGGAAACCTCAGCCTTACAAACTGCATGGTGCCATCTTGTCTCAGTTATTCAATCGAAGAATCAGACTTATCGATAAACTCTGAAAATATCTCTGTTCTTTATAAAAACTTGAATGACCAATACCGCTGGCATTGGCTGCTAACATTGTTTCACTTTTCATGTTTGAGAAAATGTCAATAATATGTATTATAGAATATAACTCTCCAATGTACTGTACCCTATATTCAGTCATTTTATCCAGGCTTAAAATATGAATGAAACAGCAGCGTAGAATTTTTGTTTTGTTTTGTTTTTTTCAAGTCTCTGTAGGAGATTTTATTCATAGAAATTAAGTCTTAACGTTGATAATTGTTTTGGCAGGAGAACAGCAGATGAGACAAGGATGGTTTACATAAAGGCAGCAAACTAAAACACCTGCTTTCACCCACATAATAAATAAAACCACATCATCACTGGTCCATCCATGTACCCAGGTCCTCTGTCATGAGATTTGCACAAAAAATAAAGCTGCTGAGTGAATCTTAAGAGTCTGGTGTTTTTGTTGCGTGACCTTTGGTATTTACCTCCTGTCACCAGATTTGACTACTTTTCTGCCCCCCCAGGGGAGGGGTCCTGTGTGGTCTTTGAGGGCGCTCCTACCTTTTGAAAATCCACCGTGGCTTAAAGCTGCTCCAAACACAACAGCGGCTCTCTGCAGTGCACTGGCTGAGGGCTATGGGAGTGAATAGGGCCTGTGTCACAGTATCCACAACCCATACAGCTCTAATGACACAACAAATGCTGTGAAGGAGGATTAGGCCAGCTTACACAGCCCCTCAATACACCTCCACTTTACACTTTCTCACCCGGCCTCATTATCTGGGCGTACTGTTTGTGTTGAGGGATAGAGAGGGAGGGTTTGAGGAGGGAGGCTTATGTTTTATCCTCCCGCCATTCTCCGTTGAGCGAGCGTCGAGAGCGATCGGTTTAGTTTGGTGTCTTGTTTTTTTGGAAAAGTCACATGAAACCACAAGCCCAAAACTTATGAGTGCTGTATGAGATCCTTTAAATCATCAAGAAGAGACACTCTCAGCTACTGTATTCAGAGTTACAGTAGATTGTACGAGCATCAAGTTCACCAGCTTCCTTTGCTTAAAGATAAAATGGGTTTTATTCATCAAGATGGCAGCTTGAATTTGAAAAATGTGGACAATGCTCCCAAGTTCTTGCTTACATTCATGTTTTCACATAAGGAAGATTAAAACAGCGCTCTTTTTTTGCCTTTATTGTCAAAGGGCAGCTCGAGATAGACAGGAAAGGGGGGAGAAAGAGTATTTAATACAACAACCAGCAGCGAGAAATTGGCACCAATGCCACAAATATGTTTTATAGCTCCAGGCAGGTTTTAACTTTTCTTGGGCCAAAAATGGGTCTTTTGATAGTAAAGTTGTCTGACCCCTGCAGTAAGAAAGAAACCGTAAACTTAAGTTAATATTATAAAATAGAAAAACCCACTTTCTGTTTAGTAGCTGTTCTGTAGCTTTCAATCGTATCACTCGATCTTTATGGATGTTCAAATTTCCTATTTCTACTTGGGCATTTTAAGTGCTCTCGAGGGACCTCCAATTAGGCAAACTAATATCATGTGATACAATAAAAAGCTCCAGAACTGCTTGTAAAAAGATTGTTTGTCAACTACTGTTTTCAAGGTCAAAACTGAACTTTCATTGTGAGTATTGAATAGTTTTTTTTTCCATTTAAGTGTTTAACAATGAAAAGTATCAGGTTACTTTAATTAAAAAGAAAATACATTTCTTTGCGTTTTTTCCTGTGGGTTTGAGATCAAAACATCTAAAATGTCTGCCAATCTCTGGGTCATTCACAGAGCTCACTATAACTAGTTCTCATTGGGACTTAAGTTGTTCCAGTAAAACTCACAAAATAAAAGTATGAGTTAACTGCAGGCTCATCATTTGCCAGCTCTATATTTTACAGCCTGTGTGCAGACAAGAGTGAGGAAAGGTAGACGAGTGGTCTGGATCCTACTCTGCTGATGAGAGTGAGACCTCCTACTGTGGTTGCCAGATTGGCAGAAACCCCCCGTGGAGAGAGTGCGTGTCTCGAGGGCCACCCTCCCTGCCACCATTGTTGTGATAGATTGGTGGATTTGATGTGCGTGTTGCCTTACATGTCGACCGTTGACTTTGTGGTATTACGACAGTCACGGGAATTGCATAAGACTTGTTGCCAAGTGTGAGAGAAGCTGGCTCGATTGTACAGCCATGTGCTGTGAACATAAAGTGCACCTTACACATTAAAGCGTTGGGTTATTACAGTACACGAATCGGGTAATTATTCAGTGAATACTGTACTTTGAAATAACAGTGCATTCGTGTTTGTCCATGTGTGAATTCCTGAGCTGTTATCATCAGAGTCAGATTCCCTATATGGAGGGGTAAGGCTGGATATTCTTTTATGTCAACAGATATTCAGTTTCAGTCATTAACAATCAGGCCGGGGCACAAGTCTGGTCGTACCACCAACTTTATACCTGTATCACACAGGAGGCAGAGCAAAAGGATAGGCCTGCTCATTCACCCTGTGCCAAGGATGATCCGCTTAATCACAGCGTCACAAGATGCACCACAATGAGATCCAAACAATAGGAAACAGAAATAATAAGGCAGATTTTATGAGAGTTCACTGACAGCTACATCCCTCGCCCGGTAGAGTTACCTCTGGGGATCGAGAGGGGGAAGAGAGGAGAGAGGATGGGAGGATGGGAGGGAGGCAGAGAATGCAACATGTTTTAATCTCAGCAAACAAAGGTGTATCGCTTTTTTTTTTCCTCTATTGTCTCTGAGCGCCTCAGGGAGAGAGAGGTGTTGGCTTTTTGCGCTGCTTTTGTCCCGTGGCCGGCAGAAAGGCCTTCTGGGAAACCTGAGTGGGCAGGTGGAGGAGCGATCAGCAGCATCAAGTGTCACAGTGTTTCCTCCACTGGTGTTTACTTTTTGTTTATTTGCAGAATGAGAGACATGGACACCTCTCTCTCTCTATCTTCTCTCTGTCCCAAGATAACTTCTTCTCGTTCTTCCCACCATTTTGTCCTTTGTCTTTGTTTTTCTCCTGTTTCTTCATCATTTGCTCACATGGAGGATCCACAAGTTTGTTTTTGTTTGTTATAAACTCTAGGACACTTTTTTTATTGGAAAAAAATATTTAAGATTATTATCATTTCTCTATGGATGCAAACAGGATCCAGATAAAATTCCCGTCATCTGATTAAAAAAGAAAACGGCAAATAATAATTTTGAAGATGTTAAGATAGCTTACAATTAAAATACAAACGGTGTAGTTGCAGAATACAACCCCTCACTTCACCCTCCCCTTCCAAGTGTAAAGGAGAAACAACGAAGAACACAACGATTCTTGTTGTCAGGTGATTTTACACTATTATTGATAATATTATAATATTATATTTAATTTCTGCCAGTAGATCCTTCTTAATATTACACACTGGACCTTTAACCACACTTTCTCTCCTTCTTCTTATTCTTCTTGTTACTACTTACTCAAGGTCCACTTACAGGCTTTCCCCTCAAACACACAGGTGAAAGGCAAACGACCAAAAATAGAAAGCAGGACAGACAGAGTGATTGAAATTAGATATGTGGTGATTTCAAGATAATGAGCGACAAATCATTTCTCATAATGCTGGAAAGATGTCAGTATTGTGTTACCTAAAAACACACACACACACACACACACACACACAACAGCACACGTTTCAGGTTCACGCCAATTAGGTGAACGTCTACAGCGTGTGTATTTCAATGTGTAGCTGCTGGTGTAGATGAGCCACAGATACTGTAAATGTAAAGAATGATGATGGCTGTATCTGTGCATCTCATAATCTGTGTTCATGTTTCTTCCACACGACACAAAAAAAAAACAGTTTGTCACGAACGACTAGCTGCAGACTGGAAACACTGGAGCTCAATTTAAAACAAATATTCCACTTCTCTCGCCGGTGACGCTGACACACACTGTGGAAGCTCAAGTTGCAAAGTTAAACAAACAGATTTACCTAATGGATTTTGGTTTGGCAGTGACTTGAGTATTTCCATTTTATGCAACTTTATACTATATACTATTTTACTTTTTACATTTGCCTCTCAGCTTTAGTTAATTTTCAGATTACAATCATTCATTACCATCTTCCTGTCCAATGTAAACCATGAAACCATATGAATGTTTGTGACTGAAAAACTGAAAGATTTTCCTTTGAGAAAATTCTCACACTTTTTAAACTAAGTAAACTATTTAAAAACCATCTTGGTTTAGCTGACAAATGCATTATCACAAAGCTGAAAACAGGGCTGTTTTTATGAAAAGTTGACTTTTAGAAGTACATGGCTCTCACAGGACAGCCACACTACTAATATATAACAATCTTACAGAATATGATGCACTGCTGTCAATTAAACTACCCAACAGTGTGTAAAGTGGTTAAAATTAGCTCAACCTTAAACATCTACAGCAGTAAAATTCAACATACACATTAATGCTGCTGTGATAGTAATCAAGCAGAAATGATAGTATCACTGCACAGGTACGCCTCTGACAGGGACCATTTTTCTGCAGAATGAGTATATTTACTTTCAATACTTTAAGTAAGATTTTGAATGCAGGGCTTTTACTTGTAGTAGAGTATTTCCAGTGTGGTATTGAGTGGTAGTAAGTGAGGCCTGCAGGCCAAAGTTGGCCCCCCATAAGGTTTGATTTGACCCGCCAGATGTTTAAAAAGAATAAAAGAATAATAATAATTAATTAGTTAATTAAAATAAACATATTTTTTAATGTAAAAATGTAAATTGTTAAGATTTTTTCTTAATCTGAGCATGTGGGCACAGAGACACTCTATTCAGAGACTCAGTCAATTAGGGGAACATGTGATGCTAGAACCATTTTTTATTTTTATTTTTTTGCATTTTAATACAAAACCATTAAGTTTCAGTTTTAATTCTCCAAGGGGAAAAATTTGGGCACCCCTCCTTTAAAGGCTCTGAATACTTCTTCCACTACTTTTTGCATGACCCTACATCAGCGAAGGCTCGAAAAGGAAGAGGAAAAGAAACCTGATACACGGCTGTTTGGGATGTATGGAGGAAGTAAAGCAGAGAGGCAGCCTTCATGCAGGACGGACAGAGGAGCACTGAGGGTTCAGTTTGCTGTTAGCTAAGACACAACAACCGGGCAGTAACTCTAGCCCCAGGAGAGCAGAGCGCTGGTGTATTTTCTTCCATTGCAGGCAGGCAGATACCTTTACCTGGTGACAACACACACCTGTGTGTAGATCACATGACCTGATCGCCACTGTGGGAACTGGCAGAGAGATGTACTCGGTCAGCCTTTATGCAGATTTAAGGATCTTAAAAGGCCTGCAGAGGAAGAACTTGCTGCTGCTAGAGTTCCTCACATCAAAACAATAACAAAAGTTTGATGACATTGTGAAGCAGTGTGGGATAATGGGAGTTGGT